CAGATCTCTTCCAGTGAAGATAATACTGCAGTTTTTAGAGGAAAAATCACTTCTCCATCCTTGAAGATTCACAGAAGAGTCTGAGAGAAAATTGGATCATGTTAGAATTTGGCAAGAGGTGATGAGGAACAAGGATCAGCATTTAGCAAGAGGAAGAGGAACAAGGAAAGACTTTAGATTATAGGTGGCTAATAAATGAGTGATTGTTCAGCATAACTTCTTTATTGTCAGTTGCCAAATTTTCGTTTTTCTGCCTGTGAAAATGGAGTATTACTCATTATTTCTTAGTTAAAAACTCTAATTGACCAAGACCATCCCAATCCCAGAAGGCAGGGCAATGTGAATAAGTAACACTGAGGCTCAAATTGGAGCTGAGATTACTCCTTAGGTAATCTGAATATGTAATATCTGACCTCTATATCCCATAATTTTGTCTACAATAGATTGCTCTCATACTGGTGATCAAGCCAGTAATCACTCACAGAAATTTATACATTAATTTTGAATAACAAATATGCTTGAGAAAATTCATGTGTTCATAGATAACTCACAGTTACTACTCTGTGATATCCCCTTTTTCATTTATGGTGAGTTAGAAAGTTGGAGCAATGATTTTGTGGCTCTTTTTCTCAAATTTTAAGGTCATTTAGGGAGACAGAATTCTTGTGTACTATGGGTTGGGACTTTTTGATTACTGAAACAAAACATGCTGTTTTTAAGAGGAAAAATTATTATACCCTGACTTTCAGATAAGAAAGTTTTAGATTTTTCCACTCTAGAAGATGAGACTTTCTCTTGCATGTGAGAAAATACAGTAAAAGAGACGGCAGATAGCCAATGCAATGGGCATTGTGCAGTGTACTGGCATATGCAGTGTGATGCAATATATTCTTCAAATGCATCCCTGTGCTGGAGTCTGCTGTATCCAATCAGTTTTGCACATGTCAAAACCACTGAAGACTGCTGGAAATACCTATAAGGGAAATAATACTCTAATGGGGTTTTGGTCTCTCTCTAGTGGAATGCTATGTATTCCAGGAAATTGCTTATGAGCAGAGAAAAGGAAACTTGAAAGACAAAGGTCAAATTTTTTTATGGAAAACTCCACACATTATCTTTTAAGAAAGAGAAGGAGAAGAGAGGTTCTGCCTTTTTAGAAATCATGTAAACAGTTAAGAGAATAATAAGGATTGAATTCAGATGAAAATAAATTCTATATGCTTCATAATAATTCTCCACAGTAGAGAGATGTTGATAACATCCTTCAAGTTGTATTTTATGATTCCTGCCAGGTGTTATTAGAACTGCTTGAAAAGTAAGTTAGCATCATACAAGTGAGGATAACAAAACCTGATATTTAGGCTGATGGCTGGTCAACAATTCAGGATCTTTAATTTTGTTTTATTTATAATTTTTTTAAAGAATCAACATAGCTTATTCACAAATAGAAAGCCAGTTAAAGACACTGATGGAACCTCGGAAGGTTCAGAGATGTGTGCCTTTGTCTTTGAGCCGATCTTGATCTGATATTATACACAAGCAAGACAAAGCTGATTCCACTTACTTTTCTCTTTTTTTCTTCTTTTTTTTTCCCTTTAATTTTCTTTTTTGAGGTGTTACATTTCTTCTGGATCAAGTTATGATAAAATTTTGATTTTCAGATTTATAGGCACTTCCTTGAAACCTCTGTTTTGTCAAAGGAATTTCTTTAGTCCTCTTCCTGAGTTTACTGCTACACCAAATCAGGCAGAAAGCTTATGCTGACATCTGCAAAAAGAATTTCGTGGTTTTTTTTTTTTTTGCAAGCTGATTCTGCCTTTTTCCTTCAGACCTACAATATGTGCTTTCATTGTTCACACACCAACTTATGAATATGTTGATGCCGTTTTCTCTTTTTTTAAGCTCCCATCTGAGTTCTGTTCATCACAGATGTTTAGACACACAGCTGTCCATCTACAGTGGTTCTGCATGAAAGACCATGGCTGTTGTGTACAAAAGAAGGGATTCAGGCAAAATGTACTATAAATAGATAGCATTGTCTGCTTCTTCATTCTCCACTGGAGTCCTAAGTTCTGGAATTGGAATATTTGCTACTTTATCAAAATAGTTTTTGCCTTCTGCCTCCATTGAACTAAAAGATGAAGTACAACCTGAGCATTTCTTATGACTGTTATTCATGAAAAGTTTCCATTCTCTCTGAAGCAACTAAACTGGCTATTCTGGCATGGCCCCAGGCTACATGTAGTGCATGATGAAAACAGGCACATAATGTGGCATCTTCACCTGTAGAAGTCGGCAACCGTCACGTAACATAAAGTGCTTAAAAATGCTTCAAGGTCATGCTATTAATGTCTTAAGCATTTAATGTAGAGAACAGATCTGCATGCAGCATCATAAGCCCCTTTGAAAACTGTGGAGCAGCAGCATAATATCTGAGAGCATTGTGGCAAATTGGGAAGTTGAGATGGAGCTGCTAATTATTCCAAGGCATATTTCTGAAAGGACAGGAGGTGTGGGATGTTCTCTGCCAAAAGCCCCTATTTCTTGAATGCTCTCACCATCTCCATATGCACATATGAAACTTTTAAGCTATGCTGTGTGTATATAAGCTGTAGATAATGTGGTCTTATCTATTTCTTGAAACCTTGAAAATCAGTAAGATACAATTCAATAGTGGTGAGGGCAGAAGTAGAATAATTTGGGTAAGACTAGATTATCAAAAAACAAAGAAGAAACTGCTATTAGCATCTGTTACAGACCCCCAGGACTATAAGAGAGTGAGGAAAAATATTCATAGAACAACTCTGGAGTAGTTCAAAACCACACAGTACTGTCCCAGAGGGGACTGTAACCGTCCAAACATCTGTTAAATTATAAAGCTACTGTAAATATAGATCAGAGATTCCTATACACAAATGAAAGTGTGTGGATCCTAAAAAAGATTCCTATCTTTAGAAGTGGAGTACCTTATCAAATATATAGTGCTAACAAGTCAATAAGGAGAAGGTACTTTGAAACAATGGGAACTATAGCAAGAATACATGAATACAGTTGGAAAATTCTAGTGAAAATGTGCTAATTCAAGTCAAAAACATATCAATAAAACAAATTACAACGTCACAACAGAAAGGAATCTTTTTTATATGAGACTAATCTTTACTTGATGTAGTGTTGTTGCAAAACCTCTCTCTCTCTCTCTCTCTCTATATATATATATATACACGAAGAAATTTATAAAAAAATTTGACCAGGAAGAACATTAATGGAGGTTTATAAATAAGAGTCATACAATAAGAGCCTGAGGTGTTGCAAAAGGTTTCATGTACACACATATCATGAAATTGCTAGAAATGGAGAGGAATTCTCTGAGTAAGAAATTTACTTCCTTTTTCATAGTGCTTGTCCCTCTAATTTGTGTTCTTCCTTTTCTTTTTCTTTGAAAAACAAGCAATTGTTTCTTTTCCATACTGGATAAGGACTGAAACACCAGAGGAAATAGTTATTTGTGATGCTGACATAACTATCTACTGACTCTTGCCTTTGTTTGCCACTCAGGATTGCAAATGTTTGACTTTGCAGATGTTTGAGATACTCGGAAAAGATTGTTCCTCTCCCTTTTAACCATTTGGTTGCCACAGAAGTTTGAGGCCATCTGGAAACAATCCTTACTGATTCCCAAAGCTTTTTTTTCCCCTTTTGGTGACCTGTGGCCCTTTCATAATGATGCACCAAAATTTATCTTTTGGTGCTTCATCCAGGTACACCAAGGTGTATCTGACCAAGGTGTAGCTACTTGGCCTCCATTCAATTGCTCACCAAAGGTAAAGCAAAGAAAACTATTTAAGTAGCCTGAAGAAAATTTCACTGGTCACTGAGTTACAGTTAGTGCTTTATTGACCATTTTGGGCTTCTTCAGAAGCATGAAAAGGTGCATGCTGCATTTTATTATGTTAATGAAACATGAGAGGAACATGTTAAAAAGCACTTGATTCACCCTGGAGGTACCCATTTCAAAATACCTGTATGTGGTTCACTAGCATAGGTAATTGAGTTCCAGCTTATTTCTCCTGTGAGTCCTTCTAGAGGGATGGTCTGTAAAGTAAGAAACAAAGAAAATTACATTTAAGGTACTGTTCCATTTTTTTTTTAATTTGAGCCAGAATGGAAATATTCTGTCACTCTACTATTATATTTTCTTTTAAGGGAATATTTACATATCCAAAAAGAAACCCTTTCCATATTCAGAGATAAGTACTTTAATACAGCCACTTATGTTGTGTATTTATGCAGGTGTTTTGCAAAAGAGCAAAATACCTGCTTGTAACAGGCTGTGATGACATGGGCATCCTGAGAATATAAATTTTTATGAAGAATAGGCCCCTTGATAATTACAGATGTGCTAGTGACTTTTTGCTTTCACTAAGAACTCGTTTACTCTGTGCATTTCTAGTTTGCATGGATTTTTAAAGAGTAGAGAAGACATTTTACTTTCCTTCTATAAAATACAGTTTATTCTGGGAAACCATTTCATGCTTTGCTTTTATTTATTTCTAATAACGTATTTTTTGTCAGGCTCCAGAGTGGGAAGAGATAAATTAAAATGCAGAGCTTCAGAACTTCTTTTATAGTTCTTCTTTCCTATGGCTGCTTACTTAGTCTTATAATTGTCATGATATGTCAGGTAGTTGAGAATTTGGTTCTTTGAAGTCCCAGTAATCTGCCTTCTTCACTATGATTGAAGAGCCATAGTTAACTCCCTCTCAAAGTCGAACTACCAGGTTGATCTCCTCAGTCACGATTTTGGACCTTCATGATAAAAATGTCTTCCACTATGTAACCTGCCCATGTCTTGGTCAAATCATCTTTTTCCCTTAGGATTTATTTGCACCTGTGGTTGCTGAAGGAATTCCCAACCCTCTTCTATTATTTTTTTTGAGACGTTGCCTCAGTTCTTCTGCACATATTCATGGCTTGAATATCTTGTTGCCTCTTTTAGACATTGAATTCCCTCTTCAAGTGCATAGACAACCTGTAATCCTGAACTCCTTGACAGTGACTGCCCATTTCTAGACTCATCTCTACCGTTTCAGGTAATTTGTGTTTATTTTATCCACAATGTTGTACTTCTGGCCCCTGGACAGATCTCTCTCTTTGCAATATATTTTGTTGTTGAATTCAATCATTCTCTCCATAAAGCTGTGAAAGTGATGAAGCAGAGTGGTATAATTTTTTTTCCTTTTTTTCTTTTTTTTTTCTTTTTTTTTGGGAGAGGAAAGAATTTATTTTCTGAAGAAATGAAATTACTGGCTCAGAGCTGTTTGTGGCTTTGTTTTCAAATCTGTGAAGTAACTCTGCCTAAAAAAACATTTAGAAATTTTCAAAATGCACTGCCATTGGCATTTTGCTAACTGCTAAGGCATATGGCTCAGACTGCTCAGCCACCTGAGGGGACCTGGAAGGAGGAGAGGCAAATTCTGCCCCACAACAGGGGCTGCTGTTACACTCCACTAGTCAATGAAGGAAAGCAGCAGTGAAATCAATACAGTGGCCTCTTGGTTGACTGGAATCACAGTTCCTGTTTTCATTGTGTACAGCATTACCAGCAGAGGACGTTAAAAAAACCATCTTTAAATCTCATATGGTATCATGATTTTTACAGATGTGGCAGAAGGAATGTCAGTCTGCCCAGGCAGACGTGTTGATCTGAGCTTGTGTCTTCCATGACCTGAGGAAATAATCTGAACACCCTGACATTGGTTAAAAGGAGAAAAAAAGAAAATGCAAACACAAAGATTGCAAAATTTGTTGCTGAAATTGTTATCATAGAGCAATGACACAAACAGAAGAAGAACAGTTTTCTATTGTTTGCCACAACTACCAATAATCTTGCCCATCCTTTCACATAGTTTTTGACCACTCCTCTTAGATTATCTTCTTATGTTCATGGCACATCCCACATAAAGTTTTCATTTGCTCCTGCCTCCCACCCTCTCACCTCTTTGGATTATGAAACTTACTCTGAATATTTTACAAAAGTTCATTTCATGATATAATAGCGATTTAATTGTGATACATGAATGAGGTTAGAAATGTTCTTCAGTCAGTCATGGACACTAAAATTCTCAAAAATCAGGGGATTGTTAAATGAAATTAGTCCAATTGTGTACTTTTACATAATACGTGACAATGTTTGTAATTCCTATGCAGTTTGAATATTCATAACAGGGACAGATCTCTGTGCCTCAAATGGTAGACTTGCCTCTCTCATAAGCTGAAGGTGTTTGTCTTTCAAATGCCATTCCTAATATTCAAACCTAAGCCTTGTAAATGCTATTGCCTTTCCATCCTAGATGCCCCATTGCCTTTGCTCAGTGCTGGGCACAGAAACAATGAAGTTACTTTTGGGTTCACAGGCAGGGATGAGGGAACATCAATCTTAGTCACTCAAAAACAGAAAGTTGCATTCAAGATGTTGGTTCAAGAAAAACACAGAACAGAATGACATCTATCAGTGAAGATGAAGGAGAGCCTGATTCTGGCAAGCACAATAATGAAATTGTTTGTGAACAGTTCATGCTTTTTTGTAAGTGACCCCCACAGGACTCATTATTCCTGCTGTTCCTGAAAATACTTCTAGGGTTAGTGAAATGCAGTGATACTATCTATACTGCCATTAAACTGGTATATGTCAATTAAATTAAATAAAAAAAAAAGTTTTGATGCTTGTATTTCCATGATTGCTCTTCCTTATCCACTGGGCCAAACAATACCATCTCTGCCCCTCTTCTCCCACTGTTTGTCTTTGTCCCTCTCCCCACTGTCCCTCAAACAAATATCTCTCCAGGTTCCTTTTGGACTTGGCAATCCTCTCACTGGGGCTAACTAGGGGGGTATGCCAGTTTGAGGGGAACTGTAGACATAATTATGCTTTAAAATACACAAAATCCATGTTCATGAAGCATAAGAACTGTACTGTAGCAGAGTGGAGACTATAGAATAAGGTCTGAGAGCTTCATTTGTAGGTGGCTGTACTTCAGCCTGGGTATGTATTAAATCTCTCTAGTGGTGCACAGCCCATTCCTCCTGGAATGTTTGTATTATTGACTCTATAGTATTTTCTCTGATCATTCACTAGGCTTAAGTATTATGGAAAAAAAAAGCTTTCCTGCAACTTTCATCTCCTATGCCTTTACCCTCCACACCGATTAGACATTTTTCTGTGCTTGTTTCCAGTTTTTAAAGAAAGGAGTTCCTCTGAAATTGCCACAGTGTTTGAATTTATGGAACTACTCGTCTAAATTACTTGCTGCTAGTGATGTCTCATGCTTGATCAAGGGTGACAGCTGCATTCTTCAATGGGATGACTGTGCTCAAGACGTTCAATAGGTGTTAAGTAAGCAGTTGTTACCTATGCTACTGGTGGTGGCCAAGACCTACCAAAACAGTAGAGGTGCTGTTACTGCTGCTCATCTTGCTTATTGCAGCAGTTGGCAAGCACTGCCAGTCAGCAGGGAATGGTTAGGGGGAAGGAGACCCAATCAAGCGTCTTGTAATTTACATCTCATTGATGAATGCATGGAGACTGTGGAAACACCAATTAGTAATAAAACTGTGGCAGCAAAGGGTTTAGGATGTGTTGTTTCACTTGTCCTCTGCCTCCTGAGTATAACCAAGAAAACTTGGAAAGTCTGACAGTTTAAAGAAATTCAAAAGGCAAACTCTGTGTGTGTCCCCAGCTCTTTTTGTATTACATTACATTGTTTGTAATATTTTGCAAAATTGATTGCAAAATGTTTATTTGGCAAATTTTTTGTGAAATTTAAAATGAAAACATAATTTGCAAGAAAAGGTAGAAATTATAAACCATTTATATTCTCATTCTGAGCATAGTTCCTGATTATAATAATTATCTAAAATTAACTTTGGATATGCTTTTGAGAATTTTTATTCAACTATGAGAAACCTGAAATAAATGTACTGTGTTTCTTTGTGTAGAATACACTGTTTTTAAATACATCAAAATAATTTTTCAGATTTTCCATACTGAGGGAAACAGTCTTACTTTAACATGCTATCCTTGAGCCAGGATTGCCTGTGCTACGATTTTGACTCATATAACCTGCTTTATGCAGTCTGGATCCTTCCTCTCTTTCTGTTTCTTATATGTGTGTTCCCGGTAGAGTGATTGATATCATTTATCTCAGTATAGAAGAATTGGAGTTGATATTGATTACGCTGTGTTAGATTTTGAAATTCCTCTGTAAATGTGTAAAGCCTGTAAACATCTACCAATCCCAGCACCTTAAAAAAAAATCATCCTTCCTCTGACCGCATAATTGTTAAATTGTGCATGCAAAATGGCTGGAGGATATTCTGTCCCTTTTCCAGCAGGTTATCAGGGAAAACTTGCCAGAGAACATTGTGTTGTTTATATATCCTGCAGGTTAAGAACTCTAAGGTCAATAGTTGCCAAAAGCAGTTTCACTTAGTAACTTACTACTTTTCCCAAGCCCTGCAACCTGCCTCAGCAGTGATTCTTATCATTTATTAGTGAAAGTGTACATATGCAGCTCCTAGATCTTTACCCATAGGCAAGTAATCTTGGTTTACTGAAATAATCTGTCCACTTTCTAGTGTAATTAATCATGATGATTAATTACCTGCATAAGCAAATATTACCCGTAAATACACTGAGCTTACATTGCAGTGTTGTAGTTTCCTAACACTTCTCACTGAGTGAATCTGCAATGCAACTTGATTGACTAAAAGTTTTCCCTTGTTTGGATTTTGCCTTTTTTTTTTCTTTTTTTTTTCATTAAATAACTAAGAATAAGATTGGTTTTGTATTTTGTTTGCTTGATTTTTAAATTAAAAAAATCATTACACTAAATTGTCTAGATTGAGAGATAGGGTGTTATCAAATATTTAAATTACATCTGTTTTCAACAGCTTGATTTTGTCTGTAAATACTTTATGAGCCCTTATTGATTTAAAGGAGTTGTTCCTGTTGCATGCTGATGGAATTGAAATGAAAATTAAGGTTATCTTTTCTGTTTTTTTGGCAAGGAGAGCTTTTTCCTTTATTTACAGGCTTTCTAAACTTTTGGTTTAAAAGGAATAAAAAAACTCTCCAATATTTCTCATTTTAACAGTTGTTTTAGAGGACAACACTTTTAGGCAGCAAGTTCTGTTAAAGCTGATAGATTTTTGCTTAGCTAAAAGGTATTCCAGAGTGCTGATAATAGTTCTGTCTTCGGGAAATACTGTTAATAGTTCTGTTCATTTCACAGAAGTTCTGCTTTTTTCCTGAACCTTTGGTAATTTTCCATCTTTGAGTCAAAACCATCTAACAATTATTGCTTAAACCAATTCTGTGCTTAGAGTATCCAGATGAAAAGATGAAGAAAAAAACCTTTATTTTAAAGTTTTGTAGATTATAAAGTAAAGGCATTCATGCTAAATCACTTCATAAAACATCCAATTAAAATTACCTTGATGCTGAAATTTGCAAATCAAGTGTGTGCATAACTTAGGGATTTTGAAATACTGCCTTTTTTTTTTTTTTTAAAATATGTGTTTGTGTTAAAACAAGTAAACAGTCCTCTCAAAACAAAACAAAAAAGTCCTAAAACCAAACTCAAAAATACAGAAACCTTTGTATTTTATCTAGAGTGCTTACAAACGAAATGTAAGATTCTGTTCAAATAGACTTGGACTTGTTTTCTTCAAATTGTGATGGCATCATCAAATCAAATAATATAGTTAATGAACATTAAAACCAAAAAGAACAAAAGAAAATAAATAGACAATGATGGGAAAGGAGTAGATGCAGTACAAGACATTAATCTAAGCAGATGAAATATCATGGAAAATTTGAAAGAAAAGAAATGAAAACATTGTCATTAGATCTTTTCTTGTCCCCAAAATTTTGATGCCATTTCTTTAGGGAATAGTTTGCAAATGATATATATGATATGTGTAGCACTACCATAAACAGGCAAGCAATTTGCCTCACTTACAATCTGTTCCATGATCTTTGTTCATCCCAAAGAAAAAAGACGAGGTGCAGATCTTGGAACACTAGGATGCG